GAGCTGCAGAAAAAGAAGGCCATCACCTCTGCTGAGGGCAACTCCAAGGCCACTGAACTGATTTCCAACTCTCTGGCCACAGCAGGCAACAGCCTGAATGAGCTACACTAGCTGGAAGCCACCAAGGACATTGCACACTGGCTGTCACGCTCTTGGAACATCATCTACCTGCCGGCGAGCCAGTCTGTGCTCCTCCAGCTACCCCAGTGAGGTCCACCCTGCCCGCACGTCCTCAAGCCACTAGGGCCAGTGCCCCAATAATGTTTAACATGGGCTTCCTTGCCCTCATCCCAGAAATCACTTTGAAATTTCATGATTGGCTTAAAGTGAAGGAAATAAAAGTGTAAACGTTCAGGATATACATATATGTATATCTCAACAAAATTCTCAAAGAAAAGATACCAAGAACACCTAGTAGCTCCTTTCATTATGAATTTCATAATAGGAGAAAGAGAAGGAAAAATGGCAAGAGGAAGAAGAGGGCAAGGGAGGAAATAAGAAGGGAAGAGAGTAAGTGAAGAAGGGTAGAGGAGAAAAAGTGTGGCATCAGCACACTTAACAAGTTAAGTGAAAATCAGCAGATGTGGCTGAGGCAGCAAATCTACCACATATTTTCAACAAGATAGACATTACATAATCATGGGTCACATTAGTATGCTACTGAGTTGACAGAAACATCTTGTCTTGAAGGGCTATTGCCCAATTTTATTTTATATTTTTAGAAAATAATCATTTTATATTTCCTATCACAGTGCTTGGTACATACAAGTAATAGATGATTGTTAAGTGACTGAATGGATAGATGATTGAATGAACAAACAAATGGGAAGAAGAAAAAATAATAAATATTCAAAGTAAAGCAAGTTTTCAAATATTTGATAATGGGAAAGACTTGTTGCTTCTCCATTTTAAAAAGCTAATCTAATTAGGAGGGAAACGTGTGAGAAGCAGCATGGCACAGAGAGAAGAAGGCAAGATTTAGAGTCAGAAAAACTTAGATTAAATTCCTTGCTCAATTCTTATTGGCTGGTGTCCTTAAGCAAATTGCTTAATTTATATAAGTCTTCGTTTCCCCCACCTGTAAAACGGGGATCAAAATATCTACCTTACAAAGAACAAACCAGCACTTCTGGCACCTGGAATACACTACACAAAACCAGTTCTCAAATCAACTCTGTAATTTATAATGTAGCCCACAGATGGGTGTTACTAACAATGCTCGCCATCTGGTAGCTTCCCGTTTTAAATAATTATTCTTGCTAACTAGGTGCCAAGCTTTTAGAATCATTATATTAAATGTTTGTACCCTCTAAATTTTGGTGTCCTTAGACAAAGCCCAGTAGGACCAGCCATAGTTCAACTTATGAGGTTGTTCAGAGAAACTCGTAGGAAAAGAAAAACACCTTGTACAGTAACAGGCATGTAATAAATTCTTGTTATTCAAACATTTTATTAATACCTGTATTTAATCCATTTGCCACTCTATATTATCACAACTATTCCAATAAGGCCATATTGAGAATACCGATTATTCATATCAGCCACTTCCAGTAATATATAAACAAGATGAACATGAAAGGATGATAAGAACTGCAACATTCTTTTCAAAGATTTGAGTTGATTCTTTCAGCCTTAACTTCTGGATTTTTCTCTCTTAAATTCATAAAGACTGAGAATTTAGAAGAGTAGACAGTATCTTTACTTCAGAAGCCATTTCTAGAAGAGAATAAGTGAAGTGTCAGATTCAAAAAGGGAATTCAAAGTTACCACTATCAGGGTATGCTTGTTCTCTGCTGGATGGGCAAACAGAACTGCTCCTATTGTGTTTTGCATCTGGTCTCAGCTGTGCAAACACCAGTTAAGTAAGAAAAACATTAAGCCATTTTTATCAGATCTACTAACAACCCAGATAAACTCCTTTAGGATCAATAGTTTAGTAATGAAATAACAAAAATTTTCCAACCTATAAGAATCTTTGTATAAAGCACTCCTACTTAGCTCTAAGAGATTATTTTCTCTGGATTATTAGATACCCGGAAATAAGTATTTTATTATAAGGTATGCCAATCCAAACCAGGATCAAAGAAACAACTGTTATAAAAAGAGTTAAATTTGGGCCAGGTATGGTGGCTCAAGCCTGTAATCCCAGCACGCTGAGAGGTGGAGAGAGGACTGCCTGAGCTCAAGCGTTCGAGAACAGTCTGGGCAACTTGGCGAGACCTTGTCTCTACAATAAAAATAAAAATAAAAAAATAGCTGCGTTGGTGGCACATGCCTGTGGTTCCACCTACTTGAAAAGCTGAGGTAGAAGGATCATCTGAGCCCAGCAGGTCAAGGCTGCGGTGGCTATGAGTATGCCATTGCACTCCAGCCTAGGTGACAGAGCAAGACTCTGACTCAAAAAAAAAAAAGTTAAATTTAAATGATCTATAGATATTACTGACTACGGTGATGTTTCAACAACAGTTATGTCATACTGGAACAAACAACTTCCCTCAAGGAAGTATTTCTTCTGAGCAAATGTCAAATCAAGCTTACAAACTAGAGCACCCAGTTTTCCTACAAATTAAAGGATAATGTCCCTATATCTGTTAGGTGGTAAATAGTATGCTTTTAAATAGAATCCATGTCCTGACCTTACATTAGTCAAATGTAGAACCAAGAGGATTAAAAGAGAAGTTCTTTCACATATTGACTAAAAATTAGAATACTAGTTTATCTGAATAAAAATTGATCACATTATGACTAAATAATAAAAAACTAAAAAAAATTTAGTCAATTATTAACTTTTTGGATTTGATGGCATTTTAACAATAAAAATCAATCCAAGCAGGAATGAATACTATGGTTTCAAAAAGATAAACAAACATTAAATGAGAGATATACTTTTAAATGATAGAGCTCTAGTAGGTTTAGTATCAAGTTCTAGTAGAGAAATAATTCACCACCATCATCAGCAAAGTAATTAACCAAATGATATATTTTTTGTTATTTGCTGATATGTATGCTTAGCTCTTACTTGGAAGAACAGATTTTTATTTTTCTGGTGCCATCAAGTGGTAACATTATGAAATGTTCTAAGATTAAATGAAATAATTTCTTAATATTAACATTATGCAATGTTCTAAGATTAAATGCAATAATTTCTTTTTGACAGAAAACGTCATACTGATGCATTTTATCTGTCAATTGAACACCAGTGATATTTTAGTACATAATTAGCTGAAAAGAAAGGGGTAAATATCAGAGCAGATTTTTTCACAGCTCATCCCTATTTTAAACTTCCAACCCAAAATGACAGTTAAGGCAAAGAATAAAGATGAACAGACCTTTAAGACCAGAAGGCTCCTCTTGCAACACACATACAAACAAACAAAAACTCAACAGATCATTTAACCACTTGAAAAATAAAACTAGGTTCAAAATGATCTATCAATCAAACCATGAGAACAAGGGACTTCAAAATTAGCTTCTCAATTAGAAACCTTAAAAGTAATAGCTAAAATTATACAACCATATCAAGACAATAAAATAATGAAAAATGAATATTAGGAACAATTATTTGAAATTGTGTGTTAACAGATCCCAAATGGTTTATCAGCAACTTCAGCAAAATAATAATAACTAACCGAAAACTAAATAAACAAGATTCCAACTCCTCTTACTGCCATACATACAAAACATTAATAGTTACTTGATACCCAAGCCCATCAAAATCGGTAGCCATTGTGAAATCTGTATTTGGCAAATTGAACAAATTTATTTAGCTATGCTCTCTCCTGAAACTCCATTAACATGGCAGTAAAATAATTTTTTAAAACGAAAATCCCCACAAAGACAAAGAGACTGAAAGAGACAATAACAGTAACAAAATTTTAAAAAATAGAAAGTGGATGGATGAGAGATTGCAAACCCAGGAAACTCGAGAAAGCTGCCGGGCTTACATGGCACAGTAAAACTCTCCAAAAATTAAGGAATTGGTGGCATTAGCAGGCTGTGGAAGTGGGAGTGAAAGCTAATAAGAGAACTGGTCAAAATCCTGGTTAAGAAGCAGTTAGGACCCACCATCCATTCCCTATTTCACTCCATACCGCCAGGCATATGCCTTTATACCACATATAAGACAAAGTTTATTCTCTAGAAGCAAAACAGAAGGTTTCTGGACTGTAGGATACCAGGCACAGGGAGAGAAAGCATCAGTAAATTATCAAAAATATTAAAAAGCATCAGTAATACAGGAGACTGCAATAATCTGAATGCTACTGAAAAGTCAAAGACCACAGAAGAATGAAAATAATTTTCTGGAAAGAAAACCACTGGAGGAAGATCACAATCAACCTTTGATTATGATGTCCAAAAAGTGAGGTAATTAAATGCAGAATGCATCATTCTGCTCCGATAAGGAAAAAGACCAAAGGACTAAAATGATAGATGATGCTTTAAAAAAAAACAAAGTTCTACTTAGAGATATTCAGCTACATTCAGCTCTACACGTCCCATACCTCCTCCATATGTCCCATACCACCTCCTAAATTAGATAGCTAAGAACTTACTACAACTAATAAAAAGAATAGTAAGCAAATCCTCTTAGTTTAAAAGCCCATTTCATTTTGTTTCTGCAGGTCAAGAGTAAATACATTAGAGAATCTCTGTGAATTACTGCTAAGGGTGAAGGCTGGTGAACACTGTAATCAAGTCAGAAAAAAAGAGTATCAGTCATACAAGAGACTTGGGGACTTGTGTGCTTTTTTAAACAATGTTTTTATAGATTAACTGCTCAGAGTAGAAAGTTAAGTACCACTGATAATGTCTAACATCTCCATCTCGTGGTACTAAAAGTATATATCCATATATAGGTCACTTAAGTTTCAATACTTTCTCATTTTCAGTCTTGCTTGTTATAGGACTAGACAGAAGATATAGTTTATATGCATATACTTTTTTTCCCAGATACCAACATAAGGATATGCCAGAACATGTTAAAATTGATAAAACTGTACCTTGAACACCTTCTAGGAGTAAATCAACTCCCTTTCTATAAAAATCAGAAGCAGCTTCATAGTCGTCTTCCTCCTCCTTTTTCAATGCCAGTTTTATTAATTCTCCTGCTTTCTCCAAATAATCTTTCTTGCCAAGCTTGGATTTTAAGCTCCCAGGAAAGAGGCTACGACTTTCCCGATCTTCTGTTTTGTTCTGTTCACTATCAGAAGCAACAGCCCCTAGTGCTGAAGAATCCGAAGAAACATTGATACCAAAAGTTCTAATGGGAGAATTCTGATTGGAAGCCATTCCATCATCTAACTCAGCAAGAGAATCCACATCAACAGTAAGAGATATCAGATCACTGTCACTGGAGAAGCCTAGAAATATGATCACAACAATAAACAGATATTAAATTCAGAATACAAATCATGCTAATTATTCATTTTTTCAAATTATTCAAGTTAATTGAGAAAGCTATAATTCACTGATGGTAGTCAGTGTCTACTAATTTATTTCATCTTAGTTCATTCACTTTTGTACTGTTGTTCTTTAACTCTGGAAGACAATTTGCTTACCTTAATCATTAAACTAAAACTGAAGACAAGTCTTTTTTTATTTTTTTATTTTTTACTGAGTTGGAATCTCACTCAGTCGCCCAGACTGGAGTGCAGTGGCTGCTCCCGGCCACCGCAGCTTCGACCTGCTGGGCTCCAGCGATCCTTCTGCCTTAGCCCTCCAAGTAGCTGGAACTACAGGCATGTGCTACCATGCCCAGCTAATTTTTTATTTATTTATTTACTGTAGAGTTGAGGTCTTACCAAGTTGCCCAGGCGGGTCTCGAACCCACGGGCTCAGGTAATTCATTCACCTCGGCCTCCCAAAGCGTGGGATTACAGGCTGAGCCACTGAGCCTGGCCGAAGACAAGTCTTTATCTAGCCTTGCTGCCAAAAAGAGCCTTTAACACAGGACTTGTAAACTATTTACAGAAAACTGTTGCTTGTACACACAGCTGCTATAAACAACAGTCTTATAATAAAGGGAAAAGAGTAAGCTTTAGAGTAAGACTAAAAAGAAGAAGAAAAAAAAGGACTTAAATCCTAGCTCTTTATTTGTTTTTAAGAGCCATGGTCTTGGTATGTTGCCCAGGATGGACTCTATCTCCTGGGCTCAAGTAATCCTTCCACCTCAGTCAGGATTGCAGACACGCATCCATCCAGCTCCAGCTCTTAACACTTACTGGGTAACTAACAGTAAGTTACTAAATAAAGTTGCTTATTATGCAAGGCTCCAAATGAGGACTAGAGTTAATGTATATAAAGTGTAGGGATTATCATTACAACAATTCTATAATACAGGTTGAATATCCCTTATCCAAAATGCTTAGGACCAGTAGTGCTTCAGATTTCAGATTTTTAGATTAAGGATACTCAATCAGTAATTACATAATGATTATACAGTGTATCATCCTCAAAAGTGTGCTTTTAGATAACCATCCATATCTAGAAAAATCTATGCTATTTTTTTCTTAAAGGCTGAATTTTTTAATCCTTTTTTTTAAACTTTTTGTTTTAAAGATGTGGGGTACAATTCAGGGTTAAGTATACAAGTGTTCATTATGCAGGTACCCTTGTTGATGAGGTGTACAACCCCCACTCCTGGCAGTTTCCCATTACTAAGGCTGAATTTTTAGACAATTTTGTCTCAGGCTCTTCCACAAGCTTTTTTTGGTTTAAATGTGCACCTTTGTTCTCAGGAAAAATAAAAATAATAATAATAAGTGCTATGAATTATTGAGTAGTGAAAATTCCTTCTCCCAGGTAATGTAACTGACTTAATGGTAAATGAAGATGATCCACAACACATACTCAAACTTTCTTGTCTCAGTACCTCCCTTTATACTCTAAAATGACTGTGGGCTCCAAAAAGCTTTTGTTTATGTAAATTATATCTGTAAATATTTACCAATATCAATATTTAAAAAATAAGTTTACAAAAGAGGTCTGGATTTAAAAAATGTGGTACATATACACAGTGGACTACTACACAGTCACAAAAAAGGACAAAATTATAAACTTCACAGCAACTTAGATGAACTTAGAGTCTACAGTACTGAGTGATCTATCACAAAAATAAAGAATTGAGTACCACATGTTCTCACTCATAAGTGGACCTTGAACAATTATCACAATACTATAAGAAATGACAGTAGTGGGAAACTGCTGGGGAGGAGGAGTACTGGCAGTAGTGGGAAACTGCCAGGGGTGGGAGCACATCTTATCAACAAGGGTACCTGCATAAAGAAGTTTAGAAATTTTTAAAATAAAACACTAAAGCCCATTACATGTTAACATAACTTTTTTTTTGAGGTGGAGTCTCACTCCATTTCCCAGGCTGGAGTGCAGTGGCATGCTCATGGCCACCCCAGCGTCGACCTGCTGGGCTCTGGTGATCCTTCCACTTCAGCCTTCCAAGTAGCTGGAACTACAGGCACGCGCTACCACGCCCAGCTATTGTTAACATAATTTTTATTAAAAAATAACTATTTTTTCCAAAACATATTTAGTGAGAGAAGTAACACTGTTTTACTTTTTTTTTTTTTTTCAGTTGGAGTCTCACTCTGTCGCCCAGACTGGAGTGCAGTGGCCGCCGCTCGCGGCCACCGCAGCCTGACCTGCTGGGCTCTGGCAATCCTTCCGCCTCAGCCTTCCAGTAGCCAGAATTACAGGCATGCGCTACCACGCCCAACTGATTTTTTGATTTATTGTAAAGATGAGATCTTGCTGCCCAGGCGGGTCTCGAACCTGCGGGTTCAGGCAATCCACTCACCTCAGCCTCCCAAAGGCGTGGGATTATAGGCTGAGCCACCGAGCCCGGCTTGTTTTACATTTTTGCAAATTTTGTTTGTGTCTGACTTAACAGAAGATGACTAGATCCTCATATCTGATTTTGCTCATAATCTGTCATCATACGTTATTTTGGTTAAGAGATATGAAAAACTGTCACATAGATATATGACTGAAAAAGACAAATATATTTTAGTGACTTTTTCAGATAACTGTGAATACTGTTCTTTGATACTACACCAAAACTCTTCAAGTGGAAGCTTCTTAAAGTTTAGGTGCAATGTGGGTTATAAAATCATACCAATGAAATTTCTGTTTCTTTTGCACTCAAATCCATTGGTCTGTCTTGCATACCAAATGGATCTTTTAACTGTGAGTTTTTAACATAACACATTGGTCACTCTGAAAATACTGGTTCCCTGAGTTATACAGATCTTCCACATGTTGACACATTTCATTATTATAATGTCCCCCAAAAATCATATTTGTTAATATCACCACCAATCTCAACAGAAAAATTTTTAAGTATTAGGGAACTGTCAAATCCAAAGTGGCAGATACAAGCTACCCAAAATCCTAACACTGAGTTGAAAACTCAAATTTTATCACTGGCAACAATCAGTAAATATCAGTTGTTTTTCCTGAAGTGTCAGCTCACTTCATTCACTTCCAAGAAAAAAATATGCCAAATACCCAGGTCTGAATAACAGTAGTTTGTCAACTATTCTTTCAAGCAAAATGGTATGCCATGAAAAAAGCAGCTAGTTCCGTTCATGGTTCAAACAACTGCACAAATGCTATTCCTCAGGACAACCAAGATAGTCCAATGGTCAGAGTGCTTTATATATACTTCATATTTTTTCACACAGAATATTGAAAAAGACATGTAACAGGGATTGAGGTTTAATAAAATTAACAGTTTTTACTGCTTTATAAAGGACATTCTTAGGAGAAATTAGCATTGGTTTTACAAGTATATGCAATAAGTACTGTTGTAATTTGGTGTCACTGTCTTGATTCATACCAAAGCATAGCAGTTTGATCCACCATGGCTTTTGTATTGTCAGTGCAAATGTCAACACAGTGAAAAGGCAAAGAATGTCCTGGTATTATTGTCAACATACTTTTTGCCTTGTAATCCTCCAAAAAAATCTCAGAAACACCCGGAATCTGAAGATCACAGTTTGAGAGCCATAGATCTATATCATTAAGTAAGACTGACAATAAGAGTTATATTAAAAATAGTTTGGAAACAACTATGAGATCTGCATCACTGTTGAATATTAACTACCAAGTTTCTAAAAAAGATAAAAATAAAAACAAAAGAGAAAATGATTTCCAAGTCAAAAGTAAAGGTAGATTAGACTACACAATTCAAGATCAGAGATCAGCAGTTTTTCTATAGAAGGCCACGGAATAAATATTTTAGGCTTTGCAGGCCATATATGGTCTCTGTCAAAAATATTCAACTTTTCTGTCATAATACAAAAGCAGCCAAATAAATTAATAAACATGGCTATGTTCTAGTAAAACTTTATTTATGGATACTGAAACCTGAATTCTCTAGGATTTTCACATCACAAAATCACATTCTTTTAATATTTTTCAGTCATTTAAAACTGTAAAAACCATCCTTAGTTTGTAGGCCATACAAAAACAGGTGGCAGGCTAGATTCAGCCCACGGGCCATAGTTTGCCAACTCCTATTTTAGACTCAAATTGCTCACTTCATATCAAATAAAGTAAGTTAGGGTAAAAACATGTTACTGGCAGCTAAGTTCAAATTTTTAATCTGCTTTAGGAACTACTTTGGCACTCTGTCAACATATCCTCATTTTCAACTTTTTTCAAAATGCCCAAAAAGAACTAATTCTGTTCCCAAAAAGCAACAGATTTTATTAAACCCACAATCTAAAATGAGATTCATTGAACCTAGTAGAAATCTTTTCAGGCTCTGGCATTTTGGCCATACAGATAGTACTTGATAATCCTAAATCTTTCACAGTAATCTATAAACTTATTCATCCACTATTCTGAGAAATATATATAAACTTTGTAAGAGATTTTTCTTAATAATTTAAAATATTTTATGCATTTCAATGCAAATATATTTACTTTAAATAGTGCTATTATAAAACCTAGCCCACTGAAATTAATAAACAAATAGATAAAGTTGAAAAAAGGTTCTGGTTTATACAGCTATTCACAAAAGACAAGAAATGCTGTGTTATAGATCTTTTGTCTGTTCTCCTGTGTGTTGTCACTATAACCTTCCATCATCTATTACACTCTTCTGTTTGATGCTTTTGCCTGATTTTCCTTTCTAACAGAACAATAATACGGAAGGGCAATAGGGTAAAGTTATGTGTATTCAGAGTCTTCCACAAAAATCTAGTAACATAGTCATACTTCCTCTTACCTTTCCAATCTTATTTTATTAGCAATGAGAATCATACTTAAATGAAATTATATCAACATAGTAAGACCATCAAAAAACTCAGAAAGTCAGATAATAAAATTAAGTAAATAAACA